AAGCAGGCTTCCCGCCGAGCAGGGAGCCAGATGTGGGGCTCGATCCCAGGACCCTGGGATCATGACCTGAGCCGAAGACAGATGCTTAACGACTGAGCCACCCAGGCGCCCCTCCACTTCTCTTAAAAGTTTGTGAAACACATGGTTTTTTGTACAGTTGCAGTGCTTATATTTTAAAGGTTTCTACTTAGTTGTTTCTATACAATATCCTTTTGAAAATTATATGATGTCATATCTAGTATCCAGCGCATATATTTTAAGTTTATAGATTATGCAAGGAAATAATCATTTTTGTGCTTAAAAACAATCCATATTTAGGGGCACTTGGGTGGCTCAGCCAGTTGGGCATCTGCCTTTAGCTTAGATCATGATCCTCGGGTCCTGGGATGGAGCCCCATGTTGGGCTCCTTGCTTAGTGGGGAGTCTGCTTCTCCCTCTCCCTTGGCACTGCCCACCCCCCACCCCCGCTTGTGTGCTCTCTCCCCTCTATCCCAAATCTCAAATAAATAAATAAAATCTTCTTAAAAAAACCCAGTCCATATTTAGGTCTTACTAAATGGAACCTTCCTCCATTAGTACTTTACAAATAATAAAATTTTTTATTGTGTAAAGGAGGAAGAGAATTTAGCATCTGCATTAGGATCATTTTTTCCTATATCCTATTAGCTAATTCCAAGGTTGTTTAATATGGTATCCACCCATTTCATTTGGCTGCAACTTTTGCTCTTATGAAAGTAAGACTGATTGTTCTGAATTGCTATGTATATGTGCTTTGGCACAGCATGAAGGTACCCTTAATAACATTGCCATTGTCTTTAAAACAGCTTGCAGTTATGACTACAAATAAAAGGGTGGAACAGGAGGGCATGGCAGATAATGGTTCTTTTTTCCACCCCGAGTGTTTAACAAATCTGCTGTGTACTATGAGCCTTTTGTGTGCCCTTGGACTACCTACTGTATTTTCTGTATATTGTTCCTAGTCAACTAAAATGTTTGCATATTTGTCACTATAATTTTGACATGTCTGCAGTCGACCACTTTGATTTCTTTTTGTGGAGGCAAGCAAAACAAAACGTGTGGAAAGAAGTTGAGTGGCCTTGCCTCTCTTGGCATTTATTTTTTCACTTGCGTGTTTAAATACTTACATGTCTAAATTATTTTGGGTGACTCTTATCCTCCAAACATTGGTTTACTGTAGTCTGTTTAGAAATTTGGGAATGGTCTTTAGTTTTAATCCTTTTCCTTTTTCAATGCACAGTAATAATACTATCTGTACTGTGTATTTTTAAACAACGATTTTCTATGGAAAAAATTGCTGGCTATTTGAATAGCTCTGTTTTAGATTGCTTAGGGATTCTGTACTGACCATTAAGGAAAGATATTATTGCTGCTATACTTTATCCTATGTTAAATAACTGTATGAAGTGATGAAAGAGGCGAAAACAAATACCCATAATTCAGAAGTCAGAAAAGCTTGCTTACTGCTTTACAGAATCTTCTATTCCTCCTTGGCCCCTTTAAGAGAAGAAGACTGATACTTAATGACGTTCATGGCAATCACATATGGTTGTTAGCATTTATTCCTATTTTGCTGATTCAGAAATGGAGGATCAGAGAAAATAAGTATTTTACCTAGAATTACAGGCATATAGCTTCTAGTAGTGCGACTCCAAAGCCAAAATTTTTTGTTCTAAGCATATCATTTTCTATTTGAAGTGGCTTATTTTTAGGATCAGTTTTATCCTTTGGGAGATCCACTTAGTAGCATAAAATATTTAATGTATTAAATAAATCAGAATTCAGTGATGCTTAAGGTATACTAGGAAACAAGAATAACTTGTCTTTGATTTCTTATGGAATTCATTAGTAATAGCCTTACCTTTAAAGGTACTGCTATAGTACTTTAACATGGATTTTTACATTTGATTTTCACATTAAGGTTCTTCCATATTTGGATTATTATCTTCATTTTATAGATGCTGAAACTGAGATGCAAGCTTGAGGTAAGTGCTAAGTATTGCTAGATGTGAAGTTCAGGTTTTCAGAAGAAAACAGTGATTTACTATAAACAGAACCCAGTGATTCTGAATCAAGATACTTTAGGCAGTAGTACCATCAATTCCTCCTTAGTTCCCTATCTTTAAAAATGAAGAGGTTGAACCAGGTGATCTCTAAATGGGGTTACTTCTTGCCTCTTTAAATGCTCCAAAACGATTACATTTTAAAAGTATCAGGGTCCATGAACTTGAATGAGAAAAATGTTAGATACTTGTTTTTACTAATCTCTAACTGAAATTTACCATTTCCTTTAAACCACAGCAAATTAGCAAGCAGTCCCTGTGACTTTGTGAAATCACAGATACTTTTATCATATTGCAGTTGTTGCAGATATCTTGAAAATATTTATGTTGGTCATAATTTGGAAATTATCGTAGTTAATAGACTTGTCATTAGAGCTTGTTACTTTATATATTACAAAAGTAAGAAATGTATTTTATACTGTATGAATTTTTAAATATTTTGATAACTGTATTTTAATGTAATTGGCTTTCTTAGTGTGTATATGTTTGTTTTTGCTTTAAAAAAGTTTATAGGTGGCTGGGTGGCTCAGTTGGTTAAGCATCTTGCCTTCGACTCAGGTCATGATCCCAGGGTCCTGGGATTGAGCCCCACATCAGGCTTCCTGCTCAGTGAGGAGCCTGCTTCTCTCCTGCTGCTCTCCCCTTGCTTGTGCTCTCTCACTCTCGCTCTCTCTTAAATAAATAAAAAAAAAAAAGTTTATAGTTTTCACATACTGCCAAGGGAATTTATGGCACAAAAAAGTTTTAGTGCCCTTGAACTGCATGTTCTCCTCAGTGACTGCGGGAGTGATGTGGTTGATGTGAAAGAACTTTTGGATTCTGCTTTATGGGGGAACTATGCATAGAGGGGGGAGTCATCTCTGTATCACTCAGGTTTCCAGAATGATGGATTATGATTATGTGATTTCTCAGTAACACAAGGAAGCTAGATAGAACCAAAGTGGCGGTGATAGAAATAAACTTATGATCATCTCTATTTTGGATATTCATTTTGCAAGAATTAAGTTTCTAAGTAGTTGTTCCATTTGAGGAATATAGGAAAAGACCTCTTATTTGAGGTTATCTGCTGTTGATATTCCAAGCCAGGAGGACTAGCTTGCCAAGAACAAAAGTTACCCATACAACACATGTACTGCACAAAATATTTCTGAGACAGAAGATGACTTGGAAGGCTGTATTACTTTAAAAACATTAGGATTAGGACATTTGCTGTTGAGTTTTTGTGTGTGAGAGTGTGTGTGTATTTTGTTTGCCTTGTTTATTTTGCTTGTTTGGCTCTTAGTAATGTATGTATTAATTAGTTATGAGGAAGGAAATGGTAACAAATTCTTCATATTAGTAAAAATTAGGAATATGCACAAAACTCAGTAGTTTAATTGGAACACAAAGCCTGCTGGAGTTCTGTCCTGTGGTGAGTTTGTTATTCCATTTGAAATGCATTTATCTTTTGATTGGGTAGGGTGGGATTTGCATTCTCAAAGTCACAATGAGTTTCCAGATCCTTATCAGTCAGTATTAGGAGGGACTGTTTTTAATAGTGATAATGAAGCAGCTATTCCCCGGAGGAGACTTAGTCACTGGCAAAATTGTCAAGAGCCTGAAATAGTTTGGGAAAACTCAGGATGGAAATAGCAGGCTGTTTCAAAAACAAAACAAAAAACTCAAGCTGCTTTTTTGGGGATGTGATCTGGGGTGGATGGAGGTGGCAAGAAACCAGATGAACTTCCCTAAGTCTGCAAGCTACCTAGAAGCCGGAAGAGATTAGTATTATTTACCTAAAGCACTCTAGTGTGAACAAGAAGTTTTGAATATCATAAGATTAAAGTGGTTAACAGCCACTAATCTGGAATATTCTCTGTGTACATTGGCAATACTTAATTTGACTTTGAGGAAAAAAATTCTTCTGGTAGCGGATTGTTCTGGTTGCCAGTTTGAGAAAAATTTGGTATTTTATGCCAGATATTTTACTGGTGTTCGGGGCGTGTATGTGTGAGGGGAGTCTTCATGATCCTACAGACCACATTGGCATGCCAGGGTTTACTAATTAATAATGAAGATAAGATAATCTTTGCCATGATTAGATGAAGATGAGAAATGTAGAACATGTCTTCATATATGTCTAGCCTACCTTAATTTTAAGCTCAAGAGGAATGTTTTTTAGATTAGGATTTCTTCATGGCCGCCTGCCTGCCAACATAACAAGCTGTAAAACCTTGTTTAGTTTCCTTAAATCCAGAAATGATTCTATACCAAATCCAAACAAACCAAATCACTCTTAAGGGAATAAGTGGAAACATGTGTAGCTAGCTGCCTTGGCTGGCCTACATGTGTTTGCAAATTGGCTCAGTTCTCTGTGCTAAGCAAATTCCTTCTTAAACATCCTATGATGACCATGACCATCAGCATCATCCATTGTGAAGGTGAACAGAGGATGTGACATTTATCTGAACTGTGTGTTTTGCAAACTCTGACCAAAATAACTTTTCTAGCTAGATAGACAGCTGACAGCTAGTAGCTGATCTGAGAGCTATATAAAGACAGAATAAAAGGGCGCCTGGGTGGCTCAGTTGGTTGGGCGACTGCCTTCAGCTCAGGTCATGATCCTGGAGTCCCTGGATTGAGTCCCGCATCGGGCTCCCTGCTTGGCGAGGAGCCTGCTTCTCCCTCTGACCCTCCCCCCTCTCATGTACTCTCTCTCTATCATTCTCGCTCTCTCAAATAAATAAATCTAAAAAAAAAAATAGAATAAAAACAAATGCTCTCCAGTGTGTTCAAATAACATATGGTATATTACATTTTCTGTGTACTGAAAGCTTTTAATTTAGTGTCAGGAATAGTAAAGGTATGAAAGAAATTGAATTTGTTGCCCGCTTAAAGACACATTCTAGAGTTAATTATGTTTATTTGAATTTTTCACAGAGTTAAATGGAAAGTCTCTTTATATTGTTTGGAAAGAATGTAGGCTTGCAGAGGGAAACCCAGTGTGAGATATGGAGTCATTTGGTATAAACTGCTGAGCTAACTACCTTCTGAAAGGTAAGCTACCACCTTTTCCTGAGTTGGGCCAGATTGGGTATCATATGACACAGCAATATCCCTAACTAATAGTTGGAATTACAGATGAATTTGAATATTAGGTGATGTGGGAAACAAAGGCAAAAGAAAAATTAAATTTCCGTACTACTTACAGCCCATTGATGAATTCTTGAAACAGGCAGAGTGACATTCCTCTAGGAACTCAACTGCCTTGATGTTAATACTTTGCTAAGGGCAAAAGGGAATCTTAATCTTACCCTGAGCCCCCAGGATCCTTGTTAAGTCTACTTTAACATATAAAAATTCCTCTGGAAACTTTCTTTATCTCTACGGTGCAAGATATATGTTGGCAGTCATCCCCCAAGCATATGACCCGCTGATATACATCTGAAGGGTCTCATGACTAAGGTTTTATTAGACGGCAATAAATGACCTTTTCCTAACAATAGCTAGCCCCCTCAAGGTCGTCCTAGGAACCTTGCTTCTAGAATTCCTTAGAGACTTAAGCTATCCGTGACCCCCTCCCAACTTGAAAGTATATAATCAACCTCTCCTCATGACCTCAGTGCAGCTCTTCCTGCCCACGGGTCCTGTCCCCATGCTTTAATAAAATCACCTTTTTGCATCAAAGACATCTCAAGAATTCTTTCTTGGCCATTGGTTCCAAACCCTAACATCTTTCCTACATCATTAGACAGAAGTAATAAGATGCTTAACTTTTTATTATACAAGTAATACATTTTTGTAGAAAATTTGGAAAATCTTGAACAAATGGAAGGAGAAAAATTTCTTGTTGAGAAAACTTGTAATCTGAAAGAAGAATCATGAACTAAAACATTCTGAAGATTTTCTGCTAGTTTTTCTCATGTTTTTATTTTGTGTTTTTTTAATCAAAGTTTTAAATGTGCATGAAGATGAAATAGCTCTGTAAGATGTGTTTTGAAAAGCAGCAGTTCTCCTCCACTTCATCTCCCACTTCTCCCTCTCTGGAGGCAAACATTTTAATTTCTTAGAGCTGATTCTTTTTGCATTTATCTCTGTGTTCTTGTAGGGGAGGAAAAATTTTTTTCCTACTACCCTTCTAAGTTCTCCAGCTGGGGCCTGTAAATTGAACTGACAAAAAAACAAAAATTGAACTGACCCTGTAAATTGAACTGACAAAAAAACAAGAGAAAAGCATACAAATTTATTTAATAAAAGGTTTATGTGACACAGGAGGCCTCATAAGGAAATGAAGACCTAAAAAAATGGTTAAGCCTGAGTATTTTTATACTATATTTGATGGAAGAGTGAAACGTCCTATAAAGAGTATAAACTGAGGGTATTAAACTGTAGGAAACTTAGCAAAGCCATTTCCTTTGGATTTCTCTCTCTATCCCTCCATCTTCACAGAAAAGGATGTTCCTTTCCTCCGGGTATAGGAAGGACATCTCTTTACATGAAGATCTTAGGACCTGCTAAAGGAGAGAAGGGAAGATCAGAAAGTCCTTCCTGCACCTGCTGTTTCTCAAATTTCTTCAGTTTAAAGTAGTATGCCAAGGCACCATATTTTGAGGTAGCAAGTTCTGAATACTGTCATTATTAACAGCATGTTTGTATTCTGATTTCTTGATTGGTCAGCTTCAGTCAGTATTTCTTGATTTCCCATTATGGCAAGGTTTAGTTCTTTCTTGACTTCCCCAGGTACCCTTTTTACTTTTTCTTCTCCGATCCTAGTGTAGTTGTTCATAACTTTGCTTAGATTGATAATCAGTGTTTACACAGTTAAGACTGAACATGCAGGTTGCCTGGGTGGCTCAGTTCGTTAAGTGTCTGCCTTTGGCTCGGGTCATGATCTTAGGGTCCTGGGATCGAGTCCCTCATTGGGCTCCCTGCTCAGCGGGGAGTCTGCTTCTCCCTCTCCCTCTGCCTCGCCCCCCTCCCGCAAACCCCTGGCTCATGCACACATGCCCATGCACTCTCTCAAATAAATAAAATCTTAAAAAAAAAAAAAAAGACTGAACATGCTATTTACAGTTAAGCCATGGAGTAATCTCTGAACACTTGTACTTTTCTATACAACCTTGGGTTTCCCTGAAATTTTTATTTTTCTTTGTTATTATTTACTTTCAACTTGAAACTACTCACTAATGTAGGTCGGATTGTATCTTATCCATATTTTTTTTCAGGAAGTTCTGACAGTTTAGTTTTCTTAGTTTCCCATATTCTTAAAAATGTGCTTCCATCTGGACTGGTTGCCACTATTTTTATGTACTGCTCTTATCCTGGGACTTCCCTTCACCAGCCTCTTGGGGTTACTTCTTGCCTCTTTGTATTGGATTTCTTGTTTTCTAGATCTCCTGTTTTCTTGTTTATTGGTCTATGCTTTTATTTTGGCAGAATATATTCTGATACATTAGGTTCCTGATAATTTATGTGATTGGTTCTTTGTTTCTCAGTGTTGGAAATTGCACAATAAGGTAACTTAGTGTGAGTTTGGTTCCGTCCATTGTACTGAGTACTTGATGAACCCTTTCAATCTGGGAACTATTTTGTTGGTGACTCCCCCCCTCTTTTTTTTTTGTTCATTTAATTAATCTCTACACACAGTGTAGGGCCCAAATTTATCACCCCGAGATCAAAAATCGCATGCTCTTCCAGCTGAGCCAGCCAGGCACCCCAACTTTCTCCCCTCCTTTTTCCTTTTTTTCCCCTTTTAGTTTTCTCTTGAACTCTTGTTACTCAGATATTGGACTTCCTGGATTGATCTTCCAATCTTCTTATGCTATTCTAACGAGTTTTTCATTTTGGCTATTGCATTTTTTAATTACCAAGAAGGCATGCTTTTGCTCACTTTCACTTAGTTTTTCTTTCTTTCTTTTTTTTTTTGAGCTTACTGTTCTTCATGTTTGCGATATTTTCTTTTATGTTTCTGAAAATATTCATGGTATCTTTTTCCCCAGAGTTTTCTTCTGTCTGCATAATCTCTGTAAGGACTAGCTCCGTAATTTGCAGGGCCAAGTACAGAGTGGCAGTGGGTCATTTATTGAAGAATTTCAAGACAACAGCAGCAGAGCAGTAACCCAACACAGAGCTCTTCTAAGTGCCAGGCACTCTGTGACTGCCTTGTTCACATGCCTATGAAGCTGACCCTGCCCTCCCTTCCAACTTGCTTTTTCGGTTTCATCTTTTTTATGCTAGGAAGATCTGGCTGAATGAATTTTTTAAGTTTTTGTTTGTTGTTTTTTTTTTTTTTTTAGATTTTATTTATTTGTCAGAGAGAACATGCAAGCAGGGGGAGTGTTAGGCAGAGGGAGAAGCAGGCTCCCCGCTGAGCAGGGAGCCCAATGTGGGACTCAATCCCAGGACCCAAGAATCATTACGCTTAACTGACTGAGCTACCCAGGCATCCCCTGAACGAATTTTGTTTGATAATTTTTCATTATCTTTATATTTTTCCTAGACTAATCGGTAATATTCTCCTGAGAAGTCTCTTCTAATCTCCCCTGCCTGAAAGTGAAGGCCCGACTGTCAACCTTTTGGGAAAGGGTATTGATAGAGGGGGCTGGGGTTGGTGACTGGTACTGGCACATCAGAGACAGTTCTTAAATTTTTAAGAACTTTGTAAGCCATTTGCTAAATATAACAATTACTAAAGATTAAACTTATAATGAAATATTACATTAAAAATCAAAATACTAAAAATTTGCCACCCCCTAATTATTTTATTACATTTTGTTATGGAAGTTCTTGATATTATTTACATCTAATTTATATGGTGGAAATACTATTTAATAATAGGTTACCATACATCTCTTCTGAACTCTGTGTACAGTGATATCATTTTTTAGCTTGAAGCAGCCATGTAAGAGTATTTATACCATAAAAATTTAGAAAATACTACAAATAACTACCCTTGTCCCCCCCCCCCTCCTCCCCCAAGTAGTCGTTAAACATTTATATTTACCAACACACCATGGATGGGGATCTAGTACGTATGTTAACCTAAACTGCCTCCATCTTATCTGGTGATTCCTTAGTCCCTATAACCCTTTGTTTTAACCCTTTCTAGATTATCTTCAGCTTTTTGTAAGAGTGAGGGAAGGGCATTTGTCTGCCTGTCTAAAAGACTGGATCTGGGAATTTCATTTCAGAAAGATTTTCTGTTAACCTTTCCCATTTTATCTCTGCTTATTCTTTTGGGGAAGTGTTCCCTGATGGCTTACCTTAGGATTCAGTTTTCTTGGGTCTTTGAGTCCTTTACCTTTTGGCCATTTATATTTCAGCTTTCCAAAATTTGTGGCTGTAATCTCTAGTTCTCTTTGTCCCTTTGGGTTTGTCTTAAAAAAAAAACAAGCAAAAAAACTTGGTGTTTGGGGAAGGATCAACAAATAGCTGTGTTTAGTGCACCATCTGGTATTACCCAGAAGTCTGGGATATAATTCTTGACATAAATAGGTAAATAACCTTAGCAATTTAAGCGGGTCTTGAATAGGCTTAGCCAACCTGCCCTGCTGGTTTGCAAGTCCTATAAATGCAGCAGAATTATTATTCTACTGCTTTTAGAATATTTTTCCTTTTCATAAAGAAAGAAGTAACTATAAGTAGGTATTTAATCCGATGACCTGCTGTTAGGTTTTTATATGGATGTGTGGGGATGTAAGGAAACACATAACGCAATTTCAGGTCACATAGTTTGGTTTGAGGAGAATTGGGATAATAGTACTTAATTGTCTTAGGTCTATGGCAATTCCAGTTGTACTTCAGTGGCTGGATCTGGTGACTTGGTTACCTCATCCACTCTGAAGCAGGCATTGATTGCTCCATCATCTAGTGAGTCTTCTAATCTTAAGACTTTGTCTCTACTTACAACCTCTTCTGCTCAAATTCAGTGCCCTTTCCCCTCATTAGATTTGATGTGATTGGGTGGGTTGGACTCTCCTTTTCTTTAATTTCATACCAGGCCACTTCATAGTCCATTAAGATCCTCCCTTGTCTGTTGATGGTTGCCTCTGGAGAAGGTCAGAGTAGGAAGGTCACAGGATACCAGGGTAGCAGCTCAAATAAAAACAATTGCCTGGGGCGCCTGGGTGGCTCAGTTGGTTAAGCGACTGCCTTCGGCTCAGGTCATGATCCTGGAGTCCCTGGATCGAGTCCCACATCGGGCTCCCTGCTCGGCAGGGAGTCTGCTTCTCCCTCTGACCCTCCCCCCTCTTATGTGCTCTCTCTCTCAAATAAATAAAATCTTAAAAAAAAAAAAAAAAAAAACAATTGCCTGTGATCTCTCAGAAAGAGGATGTGGGCCACTCCCATTCTGGCATTTAAGATACCCAAAAGGTTTTAGCTATGGCTAAAAAGAATAAATATCTAACAGGATACAAGTGTACAGCAATATCCAGTTGCTAAATTAAACATTTCTGGGGCACCTGGGTGGCTCAGTCGGTTAAGCATCTGCCTTTGGCTCAGGTCATGATCCCAGGGTCCTGGGATCCAGTCCTGCATTGGGCTCCCTGCTCAGCGGGGAGTCTGCTTCTCTCTCTCCCTGCCCCTCCACCCCGCTTGTGCTCACTCGCTCGCTCTCTTGCTCACTCCCTCAAATAAATAAAATCTTAAAAAAAAATAAACATTTCTGCAAAAAGGGCTTCTGGCAACCACTGTTTATTGTTCCTTTTTCTAGTCTCTCCTTTCCTCACCATCTTTTGTGTTTTAATTAGAAGGTTTTTGTTTTTGGTTTATACATCCAGGTCAGACTCTTTGTATGTGCTAACGGCTTTTTCTTGTGTTTGGTTGGATTTTTAAAAATCATTTGTAATTTCTGGTGATCTCCTGCCTGGGAAGAAATGCTTCTCTTTCTCAGGATTGGTTGGGAGGATTCGGCTAGGTTTTTTTTCCATAATGATATGTGCTCAGGACCAAAATTCTGTGGAGAGCCTGAAAAGGTTTTTTTCCGTTTTGAACTTTATTCACTTAAAAAAAACTTTCATGAGTCTCATTATTAAATAATCTGGAATCACATATTTAACAAATCACCTCAAGTGAAAACAATAGAATACTGTGAAATTGGGACTGTCTTGAGATACCTAGGTCCTATGACTATCATGCTTACTGTACTCTTTTCCTCAGAAACAGACTTGCATTTGCCTTGGTGTTGCCCACATCATGCATGTGAAATAGGAGATCTATAAATGAGGGACCTTGTCTGCATGGTTTGGGGAGAATTATGGTAGCACTGTGGTAGGTTTAAGAAAAGCTCACTCAGGCAGTTGGCTTTGTCAAGATGACCGTGATTGCCTGCTGACCAGCAGCCTCTGAAGAGCTAGCTCCTTTGCTCTGCACTAGATGGTAAAGCAGGGAGCCGTGCGGTGCTGGTATAACCAGGCGCTGCTGCCACACCCCTCAGATTTTGAAATGTCCTAAGCCAAAGAGTAGGGTGAACTTTCCACCAAATTTATCAGCAGTTTCTTTTTTCTGCCTCCTTTCACTTAGGGGACATATAAGTAAGTTTTAAGGTGAGAAAGTTTAAAAATTTTTTATATACCATCATGGTCTTTTATTAAAACTTGTTAAAACTGGCTTGCTGTTGAAATAGCAGATGGCTGTGATAAAATGGGAACACGTCTAAAAAGAAACCAATGCAGATTAAATCATAATTAAAAATATCTTTAATGATTCACTAAAATGTTTTTCTTTTGGGCTGTTAATATTGTGTCCTCTTTCTATTCATCTTTTGACAAAACCAAAGAATTTTTGAAAGGACAGAAAATGCTAACAATGGCTTTGAAATTTCTTCTTCTAGAGATTTTTAGGACTTGGACTTTCCAAAGTCAAAGAATCTTGAAAATAAGACAGTTTTACTTGTAAGAGCAAGGCTGATACTGGGTTTTTGCTTTTTTTCTTCAGTGAGTTGTCAAAATATGGGTTATACTTACCAGGAATACCTGGTCCTCTTGCAATACAAGGAATATCAGAAGGATATTTTCCACAGATGTCTTAAAATGGCAAAGGTTTTACATACATCCCTCATTCTCCCCCCACTAAAAAAAAAGAATAGGTGTTTTCCTTTATTTCCTTTGCACCATTGCCCAAAGTAGGTATATATGACCTTTTGGAGAGACAACTTGTGACACTTTTTTTTTAAGATTTTATTTATTTGACAGAGAGAGAGACACAGCAAGAGAGGGAACACAAGCAGGGGGAGCGGGAGAGGGAGAAGCAGGCTTCCGATCGAGCAGGGAGCCCAACGCGGGGCTTGTTCGCAGGACCCTGGGATCATGACCCTAGCCGAAGGCAGATGCTCAACCACTGAGCCACACAGGGCCCCAACTTGTGACATTTCTAACTGGTCCCAATGCTTAGGTCCATTGTTGAATGAAATGAATCAATACCGATTCTAAACTGGTGCCTCTCCTATCCATTCTCTATAAAGCTACTCCAGGGATCTGTCAGAAATAGTGAACCAACCATGCTACTTCTCCTTAAAAATCCTTTAGTGTCCCTCAGCTACTTAAAGTTTGCCTCTCAGACTTTTTTTCCTTCTTAAATTGTTTTTGGTATTTTAAAATTAATATATATACTGTGGTCAGAAATCCAACATTGAAAATACATTTAAAAAAAAATGTCCCTAACTCTCCTCCCAACTGACCAGTTTGCTTGACATTAATGTATTTTTCTGTGTATTTGCAAACTACACATGGTCTTTTCAGTTTTGTTTTACATCAGTAGTATTATACTAAAATACTGTCCCCTTTCTCCTGCTCCCTTTCCATTGGATTGGGTGAAGTTTTTAATATCATGGAAATTAATCCTTTGTATATATTGCAAATACTGTTTTCCCAATCTTTTGCTTATCTTGTAACTTTATGGTGCCTTTTCCCCAAATAGATATTTACAATTTGTATCTAATCAGATATGTCAGTATTTTGTGTATTTTGTTTAAGGAAGGAGGAGTTATGTCCCACTAAGATTTTAAAATCATTCATATTTGACAGAATTGGATTTTACTTTTTTTTCTTTTTTTTTTAAAGTAGGCTCCACACCGGGCTTGAACTCACAACCCTGAGATGGAGACCTGAGCTGAGATCAAGAGTTGGACACTTAATTGACTGAACCACCCAGGCGCCCTTGGATTTTACATTTTACTCAGTCTGGCACTTTTAAGTTTTTATGATGAAGTAGGCATCTAGCTTTCACTCAAATACCCAGTTTTCTCAGTTTATTCAGACATCCTGCTTTAATCATTTAGGATGTTGTTTTCTTGAACTATTTATCTATTTCTGCTGTCTTACCATACTGTTTTGATTACTCTGGTTTTTATGTATATTTTGGAAGTTTTATTTTTCCCACTACAAATCTTGTTGACTGTTCTCTTTTTAAATTTAGATATAAATTACATGCCATTAGATTCACCTTTTAAGAGTATACAGTTCACTGGTGTTTAGTATAGTGACAAAGTTGTGCAACCATCACCTCATTTTCATCACCTCCCAAAAGAAACTTCATACCTGTCACTCCCCACCCCGCCCCACACACTCCCACTCTCCAACAGGCCCTAGGCAACCATTAATCTACTTTCTGTCTCTATAGGTTTGCCTATTCTGGACATTTCCTACAGATGGATTGTAAAATATGGGACCTTTTGTGTCTGGATTCTTTCACTTAATGTAATGTTTTCAAAGTTCATCCATGTTGTAGTACTGTCATGAACATGCTGTGAAGGCACACTCACAAGTTGTGTCTTTCCACAATGTCAGCTTTATTCATTCATAAAGCAAGGTTAACATAATTATAAAGCAGGTTCAGGATTCCAAACTCAGTGACATTTCATCACATGATTAACTTAGCTTCTCACAGGGCACACAAAGCAGAACACAAGTCACACAACAAACAAGATAACACAGGGCTAGGAAGTTAACAAACCAAATGAGAAAAGTCAGTCTGTGAGTATGCAGTTGAGATAAGGCCTCTGTCCTGTCTGGGTCAGCTCTGGGCACTTACTGCTTACCATGTTCAAGGAGTGAATGATCTCAGTTCTGTTCGGAGATCAGGCAGAGCCTTTGGTGGCAACTGCCTTTTTTAAATGATCAGACATAGAAGGGTCAATGCCTGAAGAGTCTGACAGTTTGCTGCAAAAATTCTCTTTTTAAAGGGCTTTAATCAGTCTTGGGCCCTGCACATCTCCTCTGTTTCTGCTCGTTACCAGTTCTAGGGTGTTGTTAATTGGTACTGGTTTGGGTGGTATCTCATAGCTGCAGTACCTTTAACTGCTTGTGTCGTTGCTTGGCACAGGCCCCTGCTTGACAGAAGTGACTCCATCTTGCTTTCTCTTGGGGGAGAGGCAGAGGGAGAGAGAGAATCGCAAGCAGACTCGTCGCTGAATGCAGAGCCCAACACGGGGCTCGATCTCACGACCCTGAAATCATGACCTGAGCCAAAATTAAGAATTGGAGGCTTAACTGACTGAGCTACCCAGGTGTCCCCATCTTGCTCTCCACAAGTACTTGTACCATTACTTCATTAATCCATTGTATGTATATACCACAGTTTGTTTATCCATTCATCCACTGATGGACATCTGGTTTTCACCTTTCACTTTTTCACCTATTTTAAATAGTGCTGCTATAAAATTTTGTGTGCAACTATTTGAGTATCTTGTTTTCAGTTCTTTGGAGATAAATCACTAGGAATAGAGTTGCTGGGTCATGTGATAATTCTTTGTTTAGTGTTTTTTTGTTTGATTTTATATTTTGATCTTTTATCTGGTAAGTTTTTGAACTGTTAGACCAGTAATTTTTAATTTGATTTTTAACAGGAAAGCCCCATAACCTGTAGTTTGCAAATAATAAGAGATTTTTGTCTCTTCCCTTGGAATATTTTAGTGCTTGTCTTTTGGTAATGTGATGGCTGGCATCTTCGTTTTATTCCTGGCTATAGGATGGGAATGTTTTTAATATTTTGCTATTGGGCATGCTATTTTCTATAAGTTTGTTAGTTTCCTTTTTTTTTTTTTTTTTCTTTTTAAGATTTTGTTTATTTGTCAGGAGAGAGCACGGGGAGCGTGAGGCAGAGGGAGAAGCAGGGGTCCCTGTTAGTTTCCTTTTATTAAGGTGAAGTTTTCCTGTATCCCTAGTTTGGTAAGAATTATTTTGAAAATCAGGAATAGGTGCTGAACATTATTTCCTTGTAAGAATTTATTGCGATGTGGTATCTTTCCCTCAAACTGTTAATGTTTGAGGAGCATTGGGCTTGCACTACTTGGTTGATACCTGGTTACTTGAGTGGATTTTTCTTCTCTTCCAGGCTGATGGTTGGTCACACATAAACAAAACACATTGGCAGGAGACTAGTAGGAGACCAATGCAGGTGAGAAAACTAATGTGTTTTGTGTATGTGTGACCAATCTGAAAACCAACCTAAGAACCTTCGGTCTGGAAAATCTGTAGCGACAAGTTCAGCAATGGTGTAGAGCTGTACATGTTAGGATATAGTCCAACATGTTTATTTTTTTCAGTCCTCTTAGTCATTTTTTTCCTGCAAACTATCTATTTATTTATTTTAAAGATTTTATTTGAGAGAGAGAGAAGGAGAGACAGTGAGAGAGTACAAGCGGGGAGGAGAGGGAGAAGCGGGCTACATGAAGAGCTAGGAGCTGGATGAAGGGCTCGATCCCAGGACCTTGGGATCATGACCTGAGCTGAAGGCAGATGCTTAACCGACTGAGCCACCCAGGCGCCCCTAAACTAAACAATTTAAAATCTTGTTATTCAGAATCAAGAAACACACTCCTTTAAGTGTTTATAAATATACTCCATAATTGGTTCTGCTGCTCCTCCCACCTTGTTCCTGATAAAAAACAAAGCTACAGAATGCTTTGAATTTTAAGCAAGTGGCAAATTATCTCTGTTCACAGGGTGCTCATCACCATAGTAACAAGGAGCCAAGTCATTTTTGAAGTGGGGCAGGATGCTTGTCCATTGCTTTTCAGAAGGACCTAAGACAATCCAAATACCTTTTTGTAGATTAGACAACAGGCCTGCTCAAGGTGTGTCTAAACATCTTCAGCATACACAAGTCACAGATGAAATAGTTTGTAAAGGAGGTAGAATCCCCATTTGAGGTTCTGTCACATTATAAAGACTCCAAAACAAATCTAGATGGGCTTTACTTTCTGCCTGAGAATAATCAAGTAGCTTCCTATTAAGGCTCATTAATTCACCCCTCACCCCCACGCCATACATGTTGAAGGCAACTGGTGGAGAAGGTCAGGGGGACTAGGGAATTAAATGAGGCAAAGATGAAAAATGAGTTTTAGATTTGGCCCAAATTGTGTGGGCAGGGGTCACAGGTAATCTTTGGTTTAAATATGTGGTTAGATTTTGAATTGCCTTGTGTTAGATCTTGCTATGGAACAAGGTTGTTTGGGAACTAAATCTCAGAGATTTTCCTTAAATGTGTTTAAAGCTGTATTTAAAGCTAAGTTCTGGGGAGAGGGTTGGTGGAGAGCAAAAAATAATAGATCAGGATTTGAGATTTGTCACCTGAAACATCTACCATGATTTTTGGAGGATGTGAAAAAATAAAACCAAATTTTCAGGTAGCTAGTAAAATATAGAGGGCTATCTAATCTTTTAGTTTATGAATAGAATTAAAGAGTTTAGGAAAATCAAAATATGACCTATTTAAGGGAGCCTGACTGGTTCAGTTGGTATAGCATGCAACTCTTGATCTTGGGGTTGTGAGTTTGAGCTCCACGTTGGGTGTAAAGATTACTTAGGAATAAAATCTTTTTAAAAATCCGTTTTTGGACTAGCCAAATAATATGGATAATAATGACAAAAAGGGCATTTTTAAAAAAGTAACCTCTACGCCCATCATGGGGCTCGACCTCATGACCCTGAGATCAAGAGTCACATGCTGTACTGACTGAGCCAGTCAGGTGCCCCTAAAAAAGCGTAAGTTTAATTATTATCAGGAAAACAGGAGAGTTTGAGATTCAGGATAGAAAAACTCCCAATAATATAAACTCGGGGGGCATTTTGACATTTAGAACAGCGAAGGCCTCCTGAAACAGTTGGTATAATTTTTATTCAACAAATATTGTCTACAATATACTCTTTTGGGCCTCAAAGAGCAGTGAACAAAAGTCTTCTCCTTGAGCTGATGTTCAATCAGACGAAGATGCACCGACACGGATACATGTCAGGAGGGAGGGAGCAATTGTTGTAGAGAATGTAAAGAAAGGATAAAGGGAATGGGGAATGTGGGAACTAGTACTCCTTTATGTGGATAGTCAAGGGGTACCTCTGTGAGAAGATGAGATTTGAGCAGAGAGATGGAAACAGCCAGTGATCCAGTAAATATCTGGGTGTTAAAAAACAAAATTCATCCTATTTGAATAAATTTGAAGATCTAATTGGCTTTCTTAAGTGATTCATGAATCTGCAGCATCCCACCTAGCAAGTAAAGGAGAGCTCCAAGGATGTGTACAAAATGGAAGGTCTTTATAGGAAGAAGGGTGGGGCAGGAAGGTTATTAGCAAAAGAAAAGGTTTTGGGCTAGAATCCCCTTCCCTTAAAGGGAAGGGCAGGAGGTCTGATTATGCTGATTACTCCATCTTCCTTTGGGGGATGGAGTGGGCCCTTGTGACAGAGTACCTCATTTCTGCTGATCAGAAAATTCCTGACTGACCCGGTTAAGACTGCATTTCTGGGGGAGGTTGATACTGCAGTTAGCTTAGGTATTAAGCCCTCATTTGGTGACTTCACCTGGCCCAAGTGATGCCATTTTGTACCTGTGGTTTTCTTTTTAACAAGGGTGTGGTACAGAAGAAAAGGATGGAATTTTCCTTTTGCCTTATGGGATTACACTGGCTGCTGAGTTTGAGAGTAGACCATATGGAAAGCAAGAGTAGAATTGAGAGAACTAACGCAGGTGAGAAACCATGGTGGCTTAGAACAGAATGGTAGTGGAGGTGGTGGATGGTACAAGTTGACCCTTGAGAAACAGGGGTTTGAACTGCATGGGTCTACTTATATGCACATTTTTTAATAGTATAATACTGTTAGATGTATTTTCCTTATGATTTTCTTGATATTTTCTTTTCTCTAGCTTTATTGTAAGAATACAGTATGTAATACATATACAAAATATGTGTTAAACAGCTGTCTATGTTATT